ACACACACACACACACACACATAAGGAAGGGACTCCATGCCACCCCTTACACGCACACACACACACACACACACACACACACGCGCGCGCGCGCGCATGCGCGCACATACACACACACACACACACACACACACGTGTGCGCGCGCGCACGCGCGCGCGTCCCACTATGGACACCAGGACACACGGATGCTCTGAGGCTCCTCCTAACTGGTAAAGCCCGTCTTGTAACACAGCTTGTCAGGCAGTTTTCTGTGGTTAAAAAATCAAGTTCTATTTTAAGGTTTTTTGGTTTGTTTTTTTTTTTTATAAGAATGTGATTTTTTTTTCTTTCAGAGCTAAACATTTAATCACAACACAATGCCCACACATTAAAAAAAAAAAATACCTCTCTGCTTCCAACTTAAAGGACAGGAGACCACAGTGGTACTCATCGGAACCCGGGTCCCCCTGCAGCCGGCCTGGCCCACGGTGAGATGGAGAACTAGACCTGGAGGAGACAGCTGGGCATCCTCCCTGTACCCAGCCTTTTAATTTCACTGTCCCATCTCCATGACCGACAAAGCCTCCGAGCAGACGCCCGTCAGCCTTCCTCTGCTCTGGGCGCCAGGGTCCCCGATCCTCCCTGGGGCGGGCCCCCTACCTCCCCAGCTCGCTGTCCCCCGGCCCGGCCTGCCGCCGCCGCTTCACCAGCTGCTTGTCCAGCTCTCGGAGCTGCTTCAGGAAGCCCCGGTTGGGCAGGACACAGCGGTTCTTAGCCACTTGTTGGATGGCGTCCACCAAGGTCATGTTCTTGTGGATCATCAGGTAGGCCAGGACCAGGGTTGCCGACCGGCTTCGGCCCATGGCACAGTGAACCAGGATCTTACCTGCAGGTGGAGGGGGACAGGAAAGCCAGAGTGAATGGGGTGAGGCTCCTGAACCCACATTCACTCTCTCTGTGGCCCACACTTTGGGTTGGGCCACAGCTCCCCACCTGCAAAGTGGGGGCCCGGCCACTCGTCTCTCTCACGGTGGTGGGGGTGGGAAGGCGGTTTGTGTCCAATAGGCCGTCTGCTGACTGGCGTCGCTGACTGGCGAGGGATAGGGTTGGTGAACGCTACAAGCGCTGCCCGGGCGGAGGAGACGGCACCAAGCCTCCTGGAAGCTTTTGTCTGTTTGAATGTTTAGTCAGTCGTGTTTAGCAGGGTTCAAATGTCAGAGCGTACCCCAGGAGACTGATGAGAGACCCCCCCCCCACAGGGTTCCTTGACTCTCCGGAGCAACAGGTACCCCCTTTCCCCTATCTGTTCTTCTAGAGAAAACTCTGCCTCGAAGAGCCGACCCCCTCCCTCACTCTTCCTTCTTGACTCCCAAACCCACAAGCTTTAGATTCTCCCCGCCCATCCCTCCTTCCCTCCCTCCCTTCTCGACTCTTCTACTGTGGGTAGAAATCAGGGCTTTATGCCTCCCAGACAAGCACTGAACTACGCTCCAGACTTTCAAAGACCTTTTCTCTAGCTTGCTTATTTCGTTTAACAGTTTACATTGGAGATCTCTATAAATCAGTAGATGAATAGCGCTCTCTCTCTCTCTCTCTCTCTCTCTCTCTCTCTCTCTCTCTCTCTCTTAACCCTCCCTGTCCACCCAGCTGTCACCATGCTGGGAAGAAAACCCAAGACCTTACCCATGATACACACGCTCAAGCTACATCCCCAGCAAAAATTGTTTCCAAAGCATGTGCCTTCTTTCTTTTTTTGATGCTAGGCATCACATACGGGGCCTTGCATGTGCTCAGCACCCATCATTCTACTGAGCTAGACCCCTCCCTGGTCCTTGCAAGCTACTATTTTAACTTTTTTTTTTTTTTTTTTTGGACAGGGTTTCCCTGTGTAACCCAGGATGGTTTCAAACTCAATATTCTCCTGCCCCAGTCCCTCAAGTGCGGGAATTAAACAATTTAAATAGAGTGCACTCCACACCTAGGATGGCCCTAGGATGACCCTGGAATGGCCGTCCTGTCTTCGGACTGGCAGTGCAGGACAAAGGTGTGCCTGCCTTCTGCACCTATGGGACACGGCTGGCTTTGACTATGAATGTGCCAGAGCTGGAACAGCACCTAAAATCCTTTGGGAGGTCTGGAGTAAGGACACATGACTTACAGACATGAGACCCAGGCTCCCTTCTGCTTACTAACTGCCAACTGGGTGACAAATGACAGAACCACTCAGCCTCGTAAGCCTTAATTTCCTTGACTGTCAAGTGGAGGGGCAGAATCAGATGAGCAGTGAGTAAAATCGATTCAGGAAAGAGGCACATGGCCCACCGGGCTTTTAAACAGTGAACGTCGTTTGGGGTTTTTTTGTTTGTTTGGTTGGTTGGTTTGGGTTTTTTGAGACAGGGTTTCTCTGTGTAACAGCTCTGGCTGTCCTGGAATTCGATCGTAGACCAGGCTGGTCTTGAACTCACAGAGACCCTCCTGCACCTGCTGTCTTCCTCCAGAGTGCTGGGATTGAAGGCATGAGCTACCTCCGCCCGGCTAAACAGTGAAAGTAGTTTCACTGTACCATCCCCCAAACTAACATTAACGAAGACCTGTCTCCACACTAGTTCTGGAGGGTTTTGTGGTGTGGTTTGGTGTGGTTTTAGACGGGCCTTATGTATCCCAGGCTGGCCTTGAATCCACCATGTACCTCAGGATATTTTTCAACCACCTGGTCCTCCTGCCTCCACCTCCAGGGTTCAGAAGTTACAGGCCTGCATCATCATACCCTGCTAATAGCACCTGTCTACATTGACTGTGTTAACACATGTGCCGGCTTTGTCCTCGTGACACTCACGAAGGCAATGGTGCCTTAGTGTGAATGATGTCCCAGACAAAAACTATGCCAATCATCACTGCTCTCTCCACCACGCCACACCGGGGAGGGGGCAGGCAACTCCCTGAGAATTGCCTCCCTCGATGCAACAGTGAAAGTGAAGTCTTGTCCAATTTCAGCCCCGGGGTACACTTCTTAATGTTCTATGAGACATGCATGCACACAAAGCATGCTAAATGCAAACGACAAACATTGGCTTGCTCGAGGAAAAGCAAGGTGATGCACGCCTTTAATCCCAGCACCCGGGAGGCAGAGCCAGGCAGATCTCTGTGAGTTGGAGGCCAGCCTGGTCTACAAAGCGAGATCCAGGACAGGCTCCAAAACTACACAGAGAAACCCTGTCTCGGGGGAAAAAAAAAAAAGTGAATGTGTGAGGCCCAGTTGTGGTAGTCATATGCCTGTGGTGGCCCAGCACTCAGAAGGCAGAGACAGAGAGACTACTGTGAATCTGAGGACAGCTTGGTCTACGTAGTTATCCAGGCCACTTAAGCCTACCCATCTGGAAATTAAAAAAAAAGTAAACCAAGGCAGTCTGTCATTTCAAAGAAAATGTGATGCGTGTGTTGTCGGAGATAAAAACGCAAGCTTTCAGGCAGGAGTTAGAATTCTAAATCTCTGTCTGCACCACGATGCAGTTTCCTAATACCTCAAGAGTCTCCCATTCGGATGGATGTTGTGGGGCAGGCATGGTGTTGCCTACCTCTAATGCCAGCACTCGGGAGGCAGAGGCAGAAGGGTTACTGTGAGTTCAAGGCCAACCTGGGCTACCTAGTGAGCTAGCTCCAGGTCAGCCAAACTATATAGTGACCCTTTCTCCATAACCGACCAAACAGGCCAATAAAAAAGAGCAACAAAAAAAGATGGCGCTGGTGAGGTGGGCAAACTTGGATCAACGATGTACAGTGGAAGGCAGGGCGTTTGAAAGGCCCAAGGAATTCGGTGAACCACAATTTTCAAATGGCAAGCATAAGAACTTGTGACCGGCAGAACTACAGAATCGTGGCAAAGGAGCCATTCAAAGTGCGAGGCTCCTGATGGGTTTGTTTTTGTTTCTAAGACAGGGTTTCATGGGCTCCAGACTGGCCTTGAACTCCCTACCTAGCTGAGAGTGGCCTTGAACTTCTTTTGTTGTTGTGGCTTTTGGTTTTTGGAGACATGGTTTCTCCGTGTAGTTTTGGTGCCTGTCCTGGATCTTGCTCTGCAGACCAGGCTGGCCTCCAACTCACAGAGATCTGCCTGGCTGAGTGCTGGGACTAAAGGCGTGCGCCACCGCCCCGGGCTGGCCTTGAACTTCTAATCCTCCTGCTTCTTCCGCCTTCAGTGCTGGGATTTACAAGTATGAGCTACAATGCTCAATTTATGGGTGCCAGAGATCCCCCAATCCATACATTTTATTATTGAATATTTGAAATTTCTCAGTTCTTATTTTCAATGGAGTGAGCTTTGATAGATATTACCTATAAACAGAAAGTGAACTCTCCACTGACTTTTAAGAGTATAAAATGTTCTGAAACCTAAAACTCTGAGACCCAGTGGTCTCCACGCTGTTCAGGCCAGTATCACCCATATCCACAGCCACGATGCACAAGCGGCCCGGTCCCTCGGGTCTCCACTTGGCGGCGCTCTAGAGCCCACCCGGTACACCCACTGGCCCGGTCTCATTTCAGCTTTGACTTCAACCTCCTTATCATTGTGCCTGCTTCGCAGATGGAGAACACGTTCAGGAAGTGAAATGTCTCTCCAGATGTCACCCACAAGGCTGACGCCACAAGAAGCTGCTTAATGCGAAATGTGTTCGAGGCCCTCAGTGTGTGCCACTGTGCTCTGAGGTTTGGCCCTTTGTTCTCCCTCAGTGGTGGGATACTCTGCTGAGGTTCAACTGGTTGGGGTGTCTGGAGCTGCGTGACCACAGTGCTGTGTGTCTTCCTGCCTCTCGGCCTGGAGAGATGAAACAGGAAGTTACCTGTGGACGGTTTCTGTGTGGGCGTGGCTCTCTGTCCCTTTTAGCCCTCCCTTCCTCATGGGACCCAGCCCAGGACGACGACAAAGTCCAGAAGCCAGGACAACGTAAGAAACACAAGAACCTCCGCACAGTAGGCGCCCCGGTTTTCCTGTTCCACTCCACTGGGATAGGAAGACCTGTGACCAGTTGCAAGGACCGCAGGGGGCCTGGCACAGAAGTGTCCTCCAATTCATCACAACCAGTGCCTCTCTCTGTCTACCCGAGCCAGCGAGGAGGGCGGGAAGCTGCCCCCTTTGCGGCTCTGCCGTGTAGAGGGCACTGGTCCACACTCTCATCCAAGCCCGTGAACATCCAAGCCCATGACCATCCACCTCTGCTAGATGGAACAATCCAGGCTCCCTGGCTCCCGGCCAGCTAGCTCTGCTGATAGCTAGTGTGTTTCTTCCTCTCCTGTCATAACTAAACATGTGCAGCAGATGAAAGCTTTTTGAGGGGCTTGAAGTCTGTAGAGCGAAGACAGAGAGGAAACAGGGAAGGAAGGTGAAGAGGTGGAGTGGAAAAAAAATTGGGGGGGAGGGTGCGGTTGGGAAGGAATGAAGGGGTGCTCAGCTCTGGCTGGGGCTCTTGGAACCAAATGTGGTTCTCATTAGTGCCGTCAGCCCGGAAAGGGAGGCCAACTTCCCCAGGGTAAGACCAGGTTGTTCTCTGGAGGTCTCAGGTGCCCCGGGGCCCCACCACTTTCCTGTCCCCGGCCCCTCAGGGTCCTGTACCCCCTTGGCACTGGGGCTCTGCCAAGTACCACCATTGAGGCCCCAGTTTGGTGGAGGAAAACTGAGGCAGCGAGGGAGGCCTGTTCCCAGTCCTTGCCTGAACTTCAAGAAACCAGGAGGCTCTATGACTGTGACTCTGGCCCCAAGCAGGGTCCCGAGGCAGGGAGCGCTGCTGGTACCGATGTTTTCTAGTTCAATCCAAAGCTGACTCCTAGGTGACCTGGCTTGCTCTGGGTATTCTGGGTACTGGATGGGTCGTTCATTTTGTTTATGTGCTT